TGGTAACAAGTCAGAATGGGGGAGAGAAACAGAACAATCATGATGGGGATGGAAGAAGCACGGGAGAAACAGGACCTGAGCACAGCACAGCCAAGGAAAGGAAGGCCAAGGGTGGCAGGCAGGGCACTGGATGACCCTGGAAAATAAGGGAGTAGAAAGGAGGTTCCCAGGGCCTGGGGTGCAGTACAGGGAGAGAAGAGCCATGTAAAACAGCCAAAGAGAAATATCATTGATATTTTTATTTTATCTGGCAAATGCCTTGTGTGAAGCTACTCTATAACATCCATTCAACACTGTGCCTGGTATTGTATGAAACAAATGAAACAAACCTGGCTCTCACCTCCTGGGAGCCTGCCACCAGAACCCAGGACCATGACGATTACAATAAAGAAATCAGACTCTGTGAGCCCAGCAGGACTTCACTCATGCAGATGAAGATAAAGTATCCTATTAAGCTCACTAATTTTTAAATAGCTTCAAAGTTTTGCCTCAGATTCAGCCTTCGAATTAATCACGGTTGCAAAACTGCTTCTAAGGAAAGTAGGCCTCTCCTGCTGATCAGGAGATGCCCAGTTTTAACCACATGCCCTGCCAATTTGGAAGCACTCCCACCCATTGGCACAAACGCCTCTACAAGCTAAATCTTTCCCATGAGTGGACAGAAAGCCACAGGCTCAGAGGCCAGTGGGCAGACCCCTCCCTACCGTCACCTCCCTACCTTCCAGCTCCAGGGCTGTTTGTGCTTTAAGTTTTAGCTAGGCCCACATACACTTGAGTGGATTCTAAAGAGTGTCTGTACCTCAAGCAAAAGAGCAATCTCACTAATAGTTACTGGCTCGGAAAGGATAACACTTAGGACGAAAGTTAATTATATGAATTAAATGCAGCTTGTTTCTCCTTTTGAAGTACATTTTTTTCATGCCTTGAGGAGGGTGATTTATAGACACATTTGTCTCTCTTTAGAGAAAATTAATTCCAGTTGGTGTTCTGGGCAGAAATGGAGAGAAGGGAAGGAGACAAAGCAGTTCTTCCTTCTCCGCTGCCCCAAGTGCAGGTCTGCACTATGCCTTGCTGTGGCCTCGCCGTGGTCTACATGGCAGGGGCGAAGGGCCTGGATCGGTCCCCACACATTTTGCTACCATCCAAAACTTCTAAGCTCCACCATCATTTTCTGATGGAGCAAACAATTTCTTTTAAAGATGATTTCAAAATAAGAGGGGAGACAATGCCATACCCCAAGAACAAGTGAGCAGAGCCTTGTAAACATCTCAGCCCCTGTTTACATGCGTTAGGCCATATGCTTTGGAGCCATAACATTTTAATCCAGCTTTTCAACATGAATGGTAATAATAGTCATCATATGCTGGGTACTCACCACAGCCAGTCACTCTGCTAAATATTTGAGGAGGATTATCTAATTAAATGCTCAAAACAACCCCATGCAGTAGGTACTGTTATTACTTCCAGACTCCCTTACGCCAAAGTTAGGACGCTGAACAGCTGTTCCAGCCCCTTTGAGCACCAGGCTACCCTCATTCATAGCACACAAATGTGGAGGATATTTAGGTCTAGTACCTTTGCAATCAAAAGCAGAAAACCATTTCTGAGTTTATGCATTGGTTTTCCAAGAACAATTCTACAAATCTAGTGGCATTATTTGTTCAGGAAATTGAGAGTTCACAAGAGAAAAGACTTCCCTTTCTTGAAAAATCTATTACAACATTTTTTATGGTGGCAGACACAGGGAGGGTGGGTTGGTATTATGTTAAAACTGCAATTGTATACAGATGCTTTAAGAGTACATCTAGGTAACTACAGTTGAGTATCCAGTAAAGTAAAATATCCCTGGAAGTGATCTAATTTAAAAACCAACCCTTCTGATTGTAAGATGAAAAGCAGAGGCCCAGAGAGGTCACAGAACTTGTCTGGAATCATCCAGAGAGAGGCAAAGCCAGCAATGAACCTCAGGTCTCCTGATTATTAATCCAGAATTCCTTCCACTTCTCCATTCTGCCTCCTAGCCTTAAAACAGAAGACCAGGTGGAACAAAGTAGACTAGAGAAACACAGCATTCTGCCAATAATAAACCATCAAGGCATTATTTAGTGTTTGCCCCCAGATTTAATGTATCTTGTGTGGTTCTCATGAAGATGCTGCTGCCTTGCAAGTGCATCTCCATCCCAGGCTCTGCCTCTGCCCTCATTCCCAACTTCCTTCATCACTTGGAAGGCACAGGTTTCCTTAAAAGTATTCATCCTGGCAGCAGAGAATATAAAAAGAAAATTGTCCTTTGCTACACACATTCAGAAACTACATGCATGAAACCACCAGGCAGACATGAGATAGACAAGTCAAATTTTCCATTTGGAATTTGGTAGCTTTGCCGAAAGTTCAACATGATGGTTAACGACATTGTCACATTATTTGCAAGACAAGGAATTACACACTAAGCAGATCACTCTTCTGTTGGTGGTGGAGAACTGGGTGTTTTCCAGGGTTGCTACCAAAATGACAGGAGGGTCACTTCCTCCATCCCCCTGACTCCAGTTCTTAGTTCTAGAATGGCCATGGGATTCAAATGGATAATGAGATTCAGGTATATGGTGGAATTATTGGGAAAGAGAAGTTGAGCTGGTACGCTATACCTAGAGCTCTGGAGTGGGTTGGAGAGTCAAGGGCACAGGTGAAAAGAACTTATCTGAGAATAAAATCAGTGAAGTGCAAAGCCAAGTGAATAGATGGAGAGGACATGAGACAAGATCCTGATAAGGTTTGAGCAACCAGATCCAGCCACACCTGATGCCAACAATTCAATCCCCTATTTTACTTAAGACACTTTGAATAGGGTTTCTGTCACTTGCAAGCAAAAGAGCCTTGACTAATACACCCATATTTAGCCTTCAGAATCCACTTTAATTGCTGTCTCCTCTGTTTGACTTTTCCTGAGGATCCCATATTGAGAGGTAGCTATGTGCTCACCTTATACTATTTGTCTTTACAGCTACTCCTCTAACTGTACTCTTCATTCTGTATGGTTAGACTCAGATTTACAGTAGAGTTAATGTCTTAATCATTGACTTTCTAATACTTGTCCAAAGCCTCAGACATAGTACATACTCAATATATGTGTGTTGAACTGAATTGAATTTGATTCTAAATACTGTTTCAGGGAACACTGAACCCTTCAATGGTTTCCCGTTACACTTAGAATAAAGTCTAACCACTCTGCCATGAGCAACAGGGCCCTACACGATCAGTCTCCCATCTAAGCTCCTTCTACAGTGGCTCAATGCTTCTCCTTGAGTGCACCAAGCCTGTCCGTACCTCAGAGTCTTTGCATTTGCTGTCCCTTCTTCCAGGAAAGTTCTTCTCACAGATATTGCAGAGATCACTCCACTACGTCACTCAGGGCTCTGCTCAATTGTCTCCTTACCGAAGAGACTTTCTCTGACAATCTTATCCAAAATAACACTTCCATCACTCTCCAGCCCTCACCCTGCTTATCTTTTTCATGACATCTTTTTCTTTTTCTTTTTTTTTTTTTTTTTTTGGGCCTCTTACTGCTGTGGCCCCTCCCGCTGCGGAGCACAGGCTCTGGATGCACAGGCTCAGCGGCCATGGCTCACAGGCCCAGCCACTCGGCGGCACATGGGATCTTCCCAACCGGGGCACGAACCTGTGTCCCCTGCATCGGCAGGCGGACTCTCAACCACTGCGCCACCAGGGAAGCCCCCAAGACATCTTTTTCAGACTTATTGCTTCCTGACCATCTGGTACATATTTATTTCTTTCATTATCACTGCTTTCACCTCTGGAATGTACGAATGCAGGGAATTTTTCTGTTTTGTTCACAACTGTACTCCTAGCACTTTTTTGTGGTCTCAAAATATTGGCTGCTATACATTTTTAAAATAAACTTAAATTTAAAAGGATGAAAAAAAGCAAACCTTAAGATTGAAACCAACATATGCAAATAAACTGTTCATTAAATTGTAACATAATCACCCTGGAAAAAAACAATTAATTCCCGCTAGGGCAGGGGAAGTACAAGATAATCGTATAACTTATAACTAATTTGTGCCAAAGAGCAAGGAAATGGTCAAAGGTTAACGAGGACAAATGGGGACAGTGTGTCAAAAGACACAGGAGCCAGCCTGAAGGGTTCCCATTGACCAAATATAGGAAAATACAAGCATCAAAAACAATAATGATAGCAATAAAATTTAACACAGCAAACAGAATTAACAATCCATGAGTCCCCAGTGATATTTTTAAAGTACATATCACAGAAGAGGAGGGAAAGATGTTCTCTACAGAACAATGCCAGATGATATCTAAAGGAAGATAGATCAGAAAAATCACCATTTTATAACCCCCAGTATAATAACTGATTCAGACAGCAATCATCAGTGGATGCTAAAACTACTTGGTGACATATTTGGTGCGTGTGTTGGGGGAAACAGATGTTCACATGGTCTCAGATTATTTATTAATTTCAAAGGGAAAATGGTACCTTTTCAATGGTGAGATCTGGCAGATACCACCTTGACTAAGTGACCAGTAACGGAACCAAGATGTTATATGCCTTCTGATGTGATTGAATAGAAAGTAAACAACATCTTCTATGTAGTGTTCTTGCCAAATGTTTTCAGTGAATCTAAGCATTGGAAAAGAGTCAGACAAAGTCAGAAAATGGGACATTCTACAAGGCACCTTGTCTAGACTCTGGATAATCATCATCACAAATGACAACACCACCAACAAAGACATGGTACTGAGACATGACAACCCACTGTGATATATGAACCTTTATTGGGCACTGAGTTTTTAAAACTACGTTATGGAGGACATCTGGGGGATAATTGGAGAATTTTTTATATGGGCTGAATTAATATTGATGTGTGTGTGTATATATACTGAATGAATAAACCACAAGTGTCATAATATACTTCAGTCCTGAAGATGTTGGAAGCGTGCAAGAAAACATGACTTCAACTCACCTCCCCAGTGGCATAAAAGTCATTGTCTTTATAGTCAGAGAACAACTGGAAAAACTGAGTAAGTGCACTGCAAAAAGAAGAACAACAATAAAAATCACACGGAATCATGCTATGCTACACAATTTCACCCTTGGACAATAGGTTTCACATTTGAATTAAGATACTATTATGCTATAAGCTCCTGTAGGCATTGTTTCAACGTCTCATGTGCATAACACTCTATACTCTGTGGATGGTTAGAAGAATACTTGTGGGCTTACTTTGTGATACTCAAAGTTGAGACAAGTGAACATTAACGCTCTGGGAAGGTTTCCAAATCCCTGGGTTACCAACTTGGATCACCCACCTGTTTGAGGGGACCCTTGAGCAAAGTGCTACAGGCTTTCACCTATTACTTAGCAATTTGTGGAGTTAGATCTGCAAACCTTATGACCCCATTAATCTCGAGTTGCGGTGAGGTAATGGGAACCTTAGTTGCTTATCAACCTCTCTCTGTGGGGAAGCTGAACATTTCTATATTCTAACGGGGCTCCCAGCATTTCAGTGTTTTAATAACCAAAGAACAGAAAAGGTGTAAAATGACTGTATTCTGAGGGAAAACCACCAAATGGTCACAGACATTGAAGTAAATGCACAGTGGCCTCCAGGGTCAAAAGAATCACATTTAGGAAAGAATGCCAACAGCCACCTTGGTAAGCTGAAATAGATTTAAACAGCCTCAAGAAATTATTTTATAATAAGCAAGAAAAGGGTGGGTTATTGGATCATTCTCTACTTGAACAAAATCTTTCAGAAAGGAAACAAAAACTTGTGAAACTCAGAAGCTTTATGAATGTTTTGACCCAGACTGCAATGCCTGAGAAGCTAGGCAGGGTTTCTGTTCCAGTTTCCTGC